CGGTAATGTATAATAGTGTGCTGGATCTAATTCACAAGCCTCGTGACATGTTTTCCGAAAGTTCTCAAAGACCTCTACGAGTAATATCACATCCGTTTTGAGGTAAAGATCCGAATATTCACCAAGATTGGAAATTTTAAAGGAGCCTCACACTTTCTTTGCGTGCTCGTAATCTTTAGTAGAAATATCGCTGTTCGTGAGAGAGCTGTAAAACTGTTCGGTCGGTGGTAGTGCTGTCTCTTGGAGCTTCTCGAGTGACGAGATGTACTCGTATGGAAACACTCCTTTTTTCGTGAGAAGATCGATTTGTGCGTCATCGTAATCCTGGCCAAAAACTTTTCTTAGAGTAGGTTGCTGCTTCAAGTTTTTGGCCAAGTTGTCCAGTGATGATGCCATGAACTTAAACGAGTCGATGAAGCGAAAAGATAATCTCTTATCCTCCATGAATTTCACGAAGGAAATGTATCGCTCCTTGGTCTGAGGTAGAACCCAGACTTGACCTGGAAATCCCGTAGCTACCTCTCGAATAAAAAGGTGCGAATCGTATCCTTTTAGGTTATGGAAGATCACAGGCACGAATCTCACGTCTCTGTAGTTGATGTTGCACTTACTATGGGCTGCTCCTCGATATTCACCCGTAAAATGCGAATGGTCGCGAACTTTGATATCTTTTTCTGTAAATCCCCGCTTGCAAATGTGGCAAATGTCGGCTTTTTCGAATTTTACTTTTTCCACGCTTGTAAAACACATTGGTTTTGGATTGTTGAAAAATTCAAGTACCTTGTCAGCGATATCTTGAAGATTTTGGGCAAACCATTCGGACGGGCTCATATCATTATCATTCACTTTTCTATAGCACCTGTATTCCGATAGCTCATCGTCGAAATTACATTTTAAATAGAGACCGCAACTAAAGGCTTCGTGCACACTGTAGGCTCTTGCCTCGGCCACAGGCTTCAGCACACACTCGAAATCGGCATATATAACAAAAGGCACCCACTCTTTTTTTGAATAGTTTATAAATGTCAGCTTGTTATAGTTCTTGTTGGGTAGCAGCACTTTGCATTTATTTATGCTGGAACAATCTTCTTCGTGGCTCGTCAATTTATCACTCGAATGGAAGTAATGCAAGCATCTATCACAAATATATTTTTTTCCATGATGATTGGATAATTGCGAACTGACCAATCTTGACAAATTATTTATCCAAACGTAGTGATAGTTGATCGGAATATACTCATCATCATCATCCCCCGGGCAGTCTTCATCATCGTCGTAGCGGTCTTGAATCATGAGAAGGCGAACATGCTTTTCCTGCTTTGAAGCAGTTAGATGTATCGGTTCGACATCGAAATTCTGCTTTAAAATGTACACATTCACTGAAATTTTATTCATCTTTTCGAATTTTGGTACGTCTTTTAATTTCATCGTAAACTCGATCCCGTTAAAGTTCAATTCATTTTCAAACTTTTTGTATTGCTCTACTCGTTCTTTATTTTTTTTCTTTGAATATAATGCTGCTAGTATTGCCCACTTAAAGCAAAAATCATCGCCAAAGTTTTGCACATTTACGCAAGCATTTTTCTTGTAAATGGATTCTGGAAGTGGGATGTAGGAGCCCACTCTTGAAGGGTTGAACTTATTGATATTAACTAATAAATAAAGTATTTTGCTTAAAGCCCAGCCTGAGCCTTCCTCTTCAAACTCTTCCATTTGCTTGAGAATGGGCTCTTGAACGTTCGATGTAAACCATTCTCTCAAGTCCGTTGTTGGTGATATATACTCATTTTTAGTATTAAAATATTTATCGCCATAAACGAACTCTCCGTCTTTGTTCAATGTCATATATTCTGCTGCTAGCTCTACATTGACTTTGATCATCGAGTGTTTGGTGAGTGTCTCTTTGATCCGTTCTGCAAATATAGTGAAGGCATCTTCTAAGAAAGCTGTAGCATCTTTGTGCTTGAAATTGACGATTTGACCTGTTCTAATGCGACACGAAAATGCGGATTTAATATCTTCCCACTTGATACGCAGCTCGTCGTCACTCAGACCCGAACCACGTTTCTCGTATCAAGCGCGAATGCTAAGCAGATGGCTGAGTTGCGATTGGTACTTGTGTTTTTTGGATCGCGACAATTTTGATGAAAGAACATTCCCTAGATATCTTATACCCTCATTTAAAACAGATTCGTCAATGCGTTCCCCCAAACGCAATGCTCGTCACAACTCCTCGATCACTTCCGAATACTCACGCTTCATTATGAAAAAACCCTTGGAAGATGCGATTTACTCGAAAAATCGACAATTAATGACTGCTCGCACGTCGCTGTCGACCTATTTATATTCATCTCCACAGGTCACGTGACCGTGAAGTTATGCATTTGATAATGTGAAATAAAAAAGTACTTTGGAATGATAAAACTGGCAAGAACTTGTTTCAAGTTCGCAGACATCTCGGAATTCTCAGAACTTTCAATCGTGAAACTGAATACGATACTCGATTCAAGATGGCGGAATCTTAGTTGATAAATTCGATGCATATGAGAACACGTGGGATTAATTTTACAATTAGTCGGAATTTTTTATTGATAAGGCGTTACTTGGGATAATAATATTTGATATTCTTAGTTTATCTTAGGCTATCCTTTGTTTAAAGCTCTCAACTATTATAGAATTCTTGGAATCGAACTTAACATGAAATTTTTATCACATTAGGGAATCCCTAGTTGTCGATAAAGCTGTATGTAAAGCGGTGGGCCCCGATAAATCGTGTTGGAGAGCATTTTATATGCTGGAATACATATACCTCGATATAGGTTATGTTGGTAAGGTAGACCAAACTCCCGATCAACGATAACGCCCACCGGTTATGTTCGAGAGTTGGTACGTTACCCAACCTTTGGCGATAACCACGCATACTTCATGGCTCAAAACTCTAGGCATAGGTACCGTTCGGAAATCGATATGATATATAGAGCAACCATGCTGCCTTCTTGGCCCTGGTATAGGTTATGTTTGAGAGTCGGTACAGTAGATAAGCTATATCCATCCCCGGGTATCCGGGTACCTTCGAGTCGGTAACACCATGGTCGATAACCTGCGATCGATAAGGATTTACCCACCATCGGTAAAACAGGCATCCCCACTTACCGACCCCCACTCCCTGACTTGGAGAGGGGGAGGGGGAAGATGGCGTGGCCTATAGGGAGGAGGAGTGGGGGGAGCCGGAACTCTCATAGCTCACCTACTGACTACTTGCCATCCGAACGAGTTATTTCTTTTTCAAACGTTAAAGTTCGGATAGTACAATTTTCATTAAGAATTCGTAAAATTCAGCATAAGCGGTAGATAAATTCGCCGTTGATTGAGTTTTTGAATTGATCGACAAAACTACAAATTTATCTACCAATGACTTAATAGATAAATAAATTTCAATAAAGTAGATTTGTCAACATGTGAGCTCATTCGTGCCTGTTACAATGGTGTCGGTCCACTAGATGGATCGTTGATTAAGATTATTAATAAATCTACAAAATTTTTAATTTATCTACGGTCGAATAAATGAGATAAACAAAATTTATGTTCCCAGTGAATTGATTTGAAAAGGCGTACGCCATTTTGAGCCTGCAATGGCAATTCCACACGATTCGGCGCTCTTTATAGATCAGATCGCCGTTGAATGAGTTTTTGAGTAAATTCGCCCAAGGTCAAACTTGATACAACAACACATTATCAAGAAAAATCAAAAATCTCGGTTTTGACAGACGATATTTGCAGGCTCTTGATATTTAGTACCCATCACGAAGGTTTCACCCGATACAACGCTTTCGATTGATCAAATCGCCGTTGATTGAGTTTTTGAATTAATCGACAAAATTACAACTTTATTCCCCCATAGACTTGAAGAAATAAATAAAATGTCTGTTTTTGGCGGCTGGATTTGTCAATTTTGTAATTTTACGAAAAATCTCAATCAACGTCGATTTGATCTATCTAGTCAACTGAATCGCACGAAACCATCATAGCAGGAACAAATTAGCGTTCGCGTTGAGACTTCCTGAACTCCAGGTGAATTTCGGCTACTTCATATTTAGACTTTTCCATGTTCATTCTTTTAATTTGTTAGTGAACTCAAGGAAAGCAAGTCGGAACGAATGCAACAGCCTATTGGAGATAAAGGTCGTGAATAAGAGATAGAGAGCAGCGATCGAACCTGTGAACAGATGGAAAAAAATCATTTTTAATACAACTATGCGAGGTTATAGTGATTGCGCAACAATGTTTTATTTGTGTAAATAGCAAGATGTGTTTTGAGATCTTATTGAAAATTTCAACTTACTCCATGAGCACTGCTTCAACAGCACCGACAGACACAACTTTTTATGTGGCTGATGTATTCCTAACACCCTCCTCACCGCATCAGCATCTAAAACACATAACACAAATGTTAATTTTAACAAGGCGCTCTAATAATTTGTTTTTTGCAACACTATCACTGAATAATTTGTTGTTAAATTTGAAGTACGACGCTACAACTTTTCTGTTACACGTCAAAATTCACGGTCACATTTATATTCCAGAGTGAAAAATTTTGGAAAAAAGTGAAAAAAACAGAGCATTATCTGAATAGTCCAAAAAAATTTTTTTCCTTAATTTTTAATAAATTTTTTATAAATGCAGATTCAAGTTACGTTTCCCCCCTTAAAACATCTTAATTTGTTTGTGCCTATAACCGAATAGCTAATAATAAAGTGCTACCACTCCGATCGTGATTAACCCATAAAGGCCTACTTCTTAGGACAATGGGCTAGCATCTTCAAGGCGGGTTCTATGGTGGTTATAACCTATTTGCATATTCCAAGGTGGATACATTTTTGAAAGGGTTGAAACAAAATATTATTCTTTGAATATTGCAAAACATTTTTGCACTTTGCAAATTATAAGCTATTCAATGATAATTTATTAAAGTATTCCAATAATGATATTAAATTTTTTAGTTCTGAAGAAAGCTTTTGATGCATTTGATCACGAAAAAAAAGGGTGCATTGGGACGGACATGATTGGAACTATTTTAAGCATGCTTGGTTACGAATTAAGTGAATCTACTCTACAAGAAATAATATCAGAAGTTGACGAAGATGGTAATGTAATTTTTATAGTAATATTAAAAAACAATCGATTATAGTACAGTTTATTAATTAATTCCTCAAAATCATAGATTACAGTATATTTTCTACTTGATTTAATGACAGGTGATAATAATCCTATTCGGGATTTGTAGATCAGTAACAATATTTCGACTACGATATTATTGAAATCAAATTAATTTTGTCTAGTATTCGTCAAACTAACATTTTCATTTTTTAAACTGTAAGCTCACTGAAATGTTTGTGATTGAGTAATTAAAATCCATGTTGATACTTTTTTCAAAAGTATAGAAGGAGCAAGTATGACAGTTTGATCATTATAATTTAAACATAACTCTAAAAATTTTTCTTTTTCAAACTGTTGAAATTTTTAATTTCAATCTAACTTGATTAATTACTTAGCCATGATAGTAATGAAATCAAATATATTGCGACAAATATTTAGCAGAACTAAAATTTTCGTTTTCGAAACTATAAATCTACTGTAAGTTTGTAATACAATAACTAATAATATCATTGATAAGAATCATAGTAAACATAAACTTTACTTGTGACTCAATTGAAAACCAGTGATTGCACAAGATCGCTTGATTCCAGTTTCTGTAGAATTTTTTATCTGGACAACTTTTTTATAATTAATTTCATCACAAAGCAAAAGTTTAATCTTCAATCGTTAAATTTTTTGTGAGTTCTAAAGATGCTTTGCAAAATCGACAGGAATGTTTAACTGTAAAAGATTCAACAAAGCTAAGAACGCTACTTACTCCTGTAACGTCCTGAAAAGGGACTTTGATTTTTGGTGAACGAAATGTTCACGTAGCCTTAGATATTTAGAGCTTTTCTCGAGCTCCGTCCATTGAGAGGACGAAGGTCGGGCGGTTGGCTGAGACCGGAGACTCACGAATCGTTAAGTTGTGTAGGAACGAGGGTCACTTTCTACCCGGCGAAACGATTGCTCGTTCATCGCCAGGGCGGCAGTGATGTCATTAGGAAAATGTATATCTATATTGCAAACATAATCAAGCAATAGGTTTGAAGGAAAAGAAGATCAGTTTTATACTCGAAGAGGGTCTTATTATTGACAAATCCGTTTACTTACATTGTCGAATATAAATTGGTACCGTGTCCGGGTGGAAACCTTGGCCAGGGCGGCTTGAAGAGAGAAAGAGAGAGCACTGGCACTAGTCGGCGGCAGGAATACAAGTAGCCGGACGAGGCCTCGATGTCGCGATATTTATATCGTTTTCGGCGGTTTCACCTATTATTGCTTTCGGAGGATGTTTATAGGTTTTATTAGCGGCGAAACAATAGCTGTATCTCTCTCTTCCTCTACTCTCGTCGCCCGAGCCAATGTTCGAATATTCCAGAACTCGGGTTTTACATGAAATATAACTTATTTAGATAATATTATTTATAGTAACTTAGATTTTAACGAGATAAATATTTTACCTAACTTTGTTACTGTCAAGATATCTCTCTCTGCTTCACGCTCACATTGACCGGCTGTTGCATTTATGTTATTTATTACTTGGTAATTTATAGGAGAAGGTAGTTGGAAAAATACTGGAGCAAAAGGGGATAGCTCTAATCACCTCCGACTCAATGTGGTTGGGCGCGAAGCTTATTTGTTGTTACGTCTGGGATTATTTTGTTGTGTTAATATGTTCATAAATATTTCGGTGCTCTCCCGAATATTCGAGAAGCCGCTCGGTAGATTCTTTGTTTGTTAGGAAAAAACCATATGGGTCGATACTTTCGATAACGGTCGTATGAAGGTGTGAAATTCCGATCTGTAACTCGGTGCGATTCGCAAAGCACGATTGCGGTTAAAGATTCGGTTGCGCGTGTAGTATGTTGTTTAAGCGTATTGCGTTGGCTAAGCGTAGTGTGTTGCTTAAGGGGGGAAAGGTACCTTAAACCTACATTTATGAAAAATTTATTAATAATGAAGAAAAAAATTTTTTTTGGAATATACAGAGAAAACTCTGTTTTCTTCACTCTTTTTTCAAAGTTTTTCTCTCTGGAATATGAAAATTGAGGTCCCAGTCACCATAGAACTCTCCTCGATGAAGCAAGCCCACAGTCCTGACAGGTACCCCTGTGCCGTAGGATCCAGCTAGAACCGATGGTTCAATCATGGTCCTTGGGGTCTCATTTTGATCATTAGATGTGTGGTTACAAACGCAAGCACTTTCAGATTTTTTAATTAGTTATACACAATTTGCCAGCCACATATGCACATTTATTTATTAATACTATATAATAAAATACAATTATGCTTGGGATGTAGCCTGAAAAAAGTGCAAATTTTGTCCAATACCTTTGAAAGTGGTTGCGTTTGTAGCCATTCACATGTAGAACAATCCCTGAAAGTTTCAGCTCAATTGCTCAAAAGGTTCTCATTAAAAGTTACGGCATGCAAGCAATTTTGAGATAAAACGTAACTGCCCAAGAGTTGAAAAAAACCAAAATACATCAATATATGTCATAATGATACTCTCATGTCACTGAGGCTGCTTAAAACTTTTTGGACGATAAAGAACAGTAATTCAATTTGAATTAAGTGCCGTATTTGCGGCACTTTTTTCAGGATTTTCTTGTACTACTAATAATACGTGTATAAGAATATTAAAATTCTATAAAACTATCTAATTGCAACAAAAAGAAATTGCTAATCTGAATAAGTAACTGTTAGATCAACTCACACTAAATTTTCATGAATTTCTCAATGTTGTCGACAGCTGTCGATAGACGTAAACCTCGTAGTAATTTTGAATTTGCCCACTAATTTTGCAATTAAAATCCATATGAAGTCACTAGGTTATGGCCAAATATTTAAGCATACAGAGACTTGAAACATTCTTGTACGGCTAGGAAGGGACTAGAAAATTTGTATTTTTTTTAGAGAAAAACGACATAAGATTCCTGAATGTTGTCAAGCGGACCTTTGATTACAACATATGGCAAGACAACAGAATCTAATTTTTTCAAATTTGTATAATTTTCTTAAATTTTTTCATCTATCTCATTTGATTCCTACGATTACACAGGCACACAAAAAAAAAATGCTCAGTCCCAGAGACCGGACCCAGTAGACTTTATGTTTTTGGGGTCGCTGAATCCGAATCCGTCGTCGGTTTTTCGCCATCAGATCGATTTAAGGTCATTTGAAAGTCATTCAAAGGTCAAATCATGTAAAATAGGTTTTAAAATCTGAAACTATTCCTACATAGGTTTTTGAGGATGCTGAATTCAAATCTGAAGTCAGATGAACTCTACGACCTTACCTTCAAGGTCATTTGAAGGTCAAACTTAGAAAATGCGATATAAAAATCCGAAAAATATATTTTTTTATGTTTTGAGAGTCGCTGAATTCAAATTCAAGGTCATTTTGACTCAATGTTGACATCTAAAGGTCATTTAGAGGTCATTTGAAGGTCAAATCATAAA